TGGAGAAGTGGGCAAGGACAGGACCCCCAGAGGGGTCCGCCAGGGAGACCGCAACTGGCCGACTAAGCGGCGTAAGCGTGGTGCGGTCTCGAAAGAAGGAGCGGGAAGCACCCGAGTCAAGGGTGAAGGTGTGTAAGGCCTGAGCCGACGTGGTACCTGAGAGAGCAGACTCACCAGCACCTGGGGCAGCAGACGCACTAGCACCGAGAGCAGCAGCCTCACCAGCACCTAGAGCAGCAGCCTCAATGCCCGGGTCAGGCGGAACACACAGGTAACAGTCACCCTCATCACTAGTAGACACAACATACATGGCAGCAAGAATGGCATCATAATCTAGATCAAAGATAGCAACCCCCGACCTAAGCAGCTCGCCCTAGCAGGGGATCTCAGTGGCGTCAGGGAACTGGAGATGCCAAGCGTCCGTCAGGCGGCCGAAGCAGCGCTGGGTGGTGTGCGGGCCACCGCACGGCTCACCAGTGCGGTCGCCGGTACGCAGGACGTAGGCACAAGGACCAGCACCCCCACCCCGCTGACGCGCAGCGTACCACTCACGAAGCTGCTGGGGGGGCGGGGTCTCACGAGTGCGCTGCTGCTGCTGGCGCTGACCACCACCAAAGCCGCCCCGCTGCGCAGAGCCACCCCGACCAGCTCCACCTCCGCCGCCGCCACCTCCGCCACCGCCGCCACCGCCTCCTCCTCCGCTCCCACCGCCACCGCCGCCGCTGACTCCGCCTCCACCGCCGCCACCGAAGCCCCCACCCCCGCCACCACTCCCACCGCCACCCCCACTCCCTCCGCCGCCTCCACCGCCACCTCCACCGCCCCCGCCAGCCCCTCCAGCGCCCTTGCCCCCCTTGCCCTTGCCGGTGCGGCATCTCCCGCTAGGGGCAGACGCAGCGCCGACCGACTCGGTGCCAACGAAGTCGACGGCAGCAGCAGAGGCAACAGAGGGCAAAAGGGGGGAGGGGGAGCACCCCTCAAAGAAGGGGGCACGAGGGTCACCACGAGAGGCTCCTACAGCGACTATACTCTTCTCAGCTGCCAGGAGGCGCTCCTCGAGGAGGTCAACGGTGAGTGTGGTGGGGCAAACAGAGAGGAAGTGGTCCCTGACCGAGCGAAGGGAGTTAGGGAGCCGGGTGACTATGTAGTAGAGGGTGATGTACATGGGGGGGGGGGTTCTTGGCGCAGAACTCAGCAGGAAGCGCAGCGCGGTAGCGGGTGTCTCTAGTGCGAAGGTGCGTAATGAGGTCAGCGACTGTGGGAAAGGCGGCGAGGTCAGGAAACAGGTACGGCAGCATAGGGCGGCTAAGGGCAGCAGTGGCAGAGGAAGAGTAGCGTGCAACTACAGCATCGTACAAGGTCTTAGCACTCTTGTACTGACTAAAGTGCGCGCGCTCAGTGGATGGCAAGTGACTACGCACATCAAGACGGGCAGCAGCATCACGTGTGGCCCACTGTGAGCGAACAGTGCTGTCAGCATCGGTAGCAGGGGCAGCAGAGGCGCCAGACGTGAGATCAAACAGTGAGAGACCGTCCTTCCTATCGCACTGTAGGAAAAGTTGTAGATCATCGACCCAGACCTCAAAGTCAACAGCCCGACCCTCAGCATCAAAGACTAGAACGCTAGGGGTAGCCATGACAGCAGTGGCAGCAGGCTAGGGGTAGCAGTAGCAGGCGTGGCTCGGCAGTGCTCTCACCAGGGCTGGTAGGTAGGGGCCGGCAAGCGGTGGGGCAGGGCCGAGGCGCGTCGGCAGGGACAGAGCCGCGACCGCGGCGGCAGCTCCTGCTGTCAGTGGCGGCGGCAGTCGCGGCTGTCGGCGGCGACGGCTGCTGCTGGTGGCGGCCGCCGCTGCTATCGGCGGCGTCTGCTGCTGTCGGCTGCTGCTGGCGGCGGCGGCGGCGGCTGCTGCTGGTGACGGAGGAGCCGAGAAGGGGCCGGGAAGGGTGGCGACGGGGCCACGAAGGGCGGCGACGGGGCCGAGAAGGGGCCGCGAGGGGCCTCGAAGGGCGGCGACGGGGCCGCTAGGGGCGGCGACGGGGCCGCGAAGGGGCCGCGAGGGGCCGAGAAGGGCGGCGACGGGGCCGCGAAGGGCGGCGACGGGGCCAAGAAGGGGCGGCGACGGGGCCGCGAAGGGGGCCGCGAGGGGCCTCGAAGGGCGGCGACGGGGCCGATAGGGGCGGCGACGGGGCCGCGAAGGGCGGCGACGGGGCCGCTAGGGGCGGCGACGGGGCCGCAAAGGGTGGCGACGGGGCCGCGAGGGGCGGCGACGGGCCGCGAAGGGCGGCGACGGGGCCGCTAGGGGTGGCGCGAGGGGCCGTGAGAGGGGCCTCTAGGAGGTCGCGACGGGCCGCTAAGGGCAGGGGACGCGACGAGAGGGCGGCCTACGGGGCGCGCCTCGGGCAGGGGCGACTTGCGCTCCGGTCAGAAAAAAAAAATTTCGATTTTCAGTGGTGGGCCCTAGGAAGCGTTCCCACTAGGGAACCTGCTCTATACCATGTGAAGAAATGAGGAATGAATGCACTGGCAAACAGGTGGGTACAAGTAGGAAAACCTAAAAGTGTTGTACCCCATATTGTCTACCCCACTACAGCCTACCCAGACTATAGCATATGAGTTTGACACCGCGCGCATGCGAGTTGTGCGTCCCCTCGCCGACCTGGGCCAATGGACGCGAAGTCGACGCTCTGCCATGGCGGAGACGGACCACCTGTGCCACTTGCGCATGCGCCCTCCGAGCCCTGCCGAGCCAGGCCCCACACCCTTGGGCGATGCCGAACGGGCCTGGGTTGGGGCACCACCTCCTTTTCAACGTCCCGTGGCTTCGCTCCTCATTTTCTGCATCTCGTTTCGATCTTCACACCTTGATAGCTCTGCGCCTCCCCCTAAATCCGTGCTATCGTACCTTAGCCGTCCTCGTCTTCCCGTAGTCGATATGGAGCCGAGCCCCTACGCAGATAAATCGGCGCCGACTTCGGCTGACTTTCCCCTTCGACACCGAATGGGTCGCGGTCTGAGCTTCACCTTCGAGTGGGACGACTTCGCCGTCCTTCATGGCCATAAGAAAGAGTTTACCGAGAGATGCTTGGGATTCGGCATCAAGTGGGACTCGAGTAGTCGCGGTTGGCGAATAGGGCAGATGTCGGCGCCGACTAACTCTAGATGGGCGCATAGGGTATATGTCATTTTTCGTCGGGGGACGGATTGTCGCAGATTGTCATCAGACTTACGTCGGCGTATGAGGCATTAGGCATGGACCCCGTCCAGGGACGTCGGTCGGCATAGCAAGCGTCGACCTGGCAGCTTTAGCGTTTGCTTACCCGCCATGTTATCACCCCTCATGCCCACTCGTGCGCTCAGGTATGCTTGGTATCGCATTGGGCTGAACGACCAGCGGTTGCGGGTAATCGGAGTCGGCCCGCTTCGATCGGCCATGAAGGCCGCCGACCATTCTTGCTTTGCTACGGTTTTCGACGCCGACATCGCCGCTATCCCGTTAAGAACGATGTGAGCTGTTTCCCCGTTGTCCAGTTATCGTTGTGTTTAGTCGGTCGCATCATCGCCTAATTTTGTGGTCGACGCCGTCGTGTATTGCATGTGCAGCGGCGGTCCACTTCCAGGGTCATACTGCAGCGTCATAGCCATCCTCTACGCAGGAGATCTGCTGAAGGCTGACGGACAGGACTGCAGGACCTCGATCCGGCACATCGACCCGCATACCGGAAAACTGAAGCACCGCGACAAGGCCATCCGCGTGCTGAAGTAAGTTGTGAATAGTCGTCGATGTCCCGCTTGTTAGTCGACGACACAGGGTATCACATGCTGACCGCCTCCTTTTACCACGATGCTCCAGGCTATTCCGCACGGCTGTCCTGGCCGAGCTGGGGCGTCCCGGTAGGAAGTGGGACGGGGCGCCGCCATCACAAGCAGTGGTGGAGGACAGGCTTGCCGACTGCGACCACCCTATCCGCGACGTGAGTTGCACGTTTATCCATTAAGGGGGGTGCACGTTTCTGTATGCTCCGCTCATAATGTTCCGCGATTGCCGGTGTTGTATGCAGAAAGTGCCAGACACAGTGTCAGACGAGAAGGTCGGCACCGGCATGCTTGCCGCGACGTCGTTCGGGTGGGTGGCCAAGCAGATTGACCTCCTCACGGGCGAGAAGCGTCGTAGTGGGGTGAGCATCGAGAACATCAAGACAAAGGGGCTGCGGACGTTGCAAGAGAGCATGGTGGAGTACATCTGCAAGCGTATCGGCAGGTGCAGGAAGGAAGGAAGAGGAGTCGGAGTCGGATTCGGATTCGGAGTCGGAGTCGGAGTCGGAGTCTGAGGAGGAGGCGGAGGAGGAGGACAAGGCGGTGACGCGGAAGGACGAGAAGGACGACGAGGAGGAGGAGGAGAAGGACGAGAAGGATGACGGGGATGAGGAGGAGGAAGGGAAGGATGGGGAGGGGGAAGGGAAGGATGGGGAGGGGGAAGGGAAGGATGAAGAGGGGGTGGAGGACGAGGTGGAGTACGGGGTGGAGTACGTAGAGGTGGGAGCTGCGGTAGAGGCGGTGGGGTCGGCGGACGAAAAGAACGAGGAAGCGGAGGATGGCGATGCGGGTAATGCTACGAGGTCAGCAGATGGGGGGAAGGAGAAGGATGAGGTCGGCGTGGAGGCATCGACGGAAAAGGGCCAGGAGGAGGCGGCATGCGAAGGTGGGAAGGTGTCGGTCGACGCCGGCGAAGGGGCGAACATCACGGGCGTGCAGGAGACCGAGGAAGCATCTGGTCGGCAGGGCCCTGAACTGGACGACGTTGAGGAGCTGCGACGGGAGAACTGGTTGTTGAGGGCGGAGAACGCTCGGCTGGCGACGTTGCTCAATGCGGAGCAGGCTCGGCTGGATAGGTTTTTTTGTTGGGTTTAGTGGACTCGTCGACCACGTGAAAGGGTTGGCCGAGCAGGTCGACGACACCGAGAAGTATGCGGCGGAACAGCTGCGAAACCCGACGGCGGCCATGTCGGAGACCATCACGGGCAACATCACCGGCAGCTTCGACGAAGCGTGGAAGGCGATGAAGACCTTCGCGGAACAGGCGTCGGCGTGGTTGGAGGACTTCGACAACCCGGAGGGTCGTGTGGCATATGCACGCGCGAGAGCGATCGACGCCATGGCCGATCACGTGACTGGGGAGGTGGGCGAAGCGAAGTGGGGTTTGGAGCTGTACATCACGACGCAACTATCCGCCGCGTAGGTCAACATCGCCACCGCTGTGACCTCCAGGCTCGCCGTGCAGCCGCCGCCACCGCCTCATCCCACGCCGCCCGCCCTCCCGGAAGAGCTCTTGAAGTCGTTCAAGGCCGACATCATGAAGGCGGTGACGGAGGCCACCCAACAGTCTTTCGTTGCTTCCGGGATGAAGATGATGACCGAGATGATCGGCACTCTGGCGCCTGGTCGACGTGGGTCGTCGCCGTCGGCCAATGACGCCGATCACGCGCAACGGAGGACGGCCGACAAGCAGGGCCTGAAGAGGACGGGCGACAGAGACGACAAGGAAAGCGCGAAGCGGAGCAAGGGATCGGACGGGAGCCGCGGCTCGAAGCCTGCGGCACAGAGCGTGGTCGACCAGCTGAAGACGAAGGCGGGGTGGAAGGTGATAAGGACGTCGAACGGCAAGGGAGGCGGAAGCGGGGGGGCAGAGGGTGGCCCTGCCGACGGGGTTGCCGCTAACGTCGCCGCTCCGCCTGGCCCGCCTTTGGTCGCCGAGCAGACCCATCCTCAGGCGAGCGGTGGGAAAGGCGTGACCGACAAGGAGGTCCCAACTGCTCAGGTGGCGAAAGATGGCGGCGCCGGAACCACCAAGGGACCGTCCGTCGCGGTGGCGGCCAAGGGCAACGCGAAGGCTGCTTCTGCCTCGGTCGCCGGCACCACCAAGTCGAATCCCCGTAACCACCTTGCGGCTACCAGCGCGCCTGCCGGCCAGTCAGGTGCGAACAAAGATGGGGAGGCCCGTGCGGCCCCTCCTGCTCCGGTAGCCCCGTCTACCGCCCAGGGCGACGCGAAGGCTGCTTCGGCTAAGGGCGATGCTCCGGCATCAGCTAAGGGCCCCCCCGATGGTAACGCGCTTAGGGCGATGCTCCGCCGCATGGAGGCACATAGCAGGGACGTGCAGCAGCATCCCGTGGTCGACGCCGGCCTTGCCGGAACAGCACGTCGCTCAGTCACTCCGCAGGTTGCCGGCACATCGTCCGGTGCCCCGCCTGCCGCGCCTCCGGTCGCCGCCCAACCCCCTGCGGACCCCAAATCCGCGTTTCTTCGCGCCCATTTAGGCGCACGCAAAGCGGTGACTCAGCCGGAACCCGGCAACAACACGACGCCGACGTCGGTAAACGCGACCGCACCCTCACCAGGTGCAGCTGTTGTCGATGCGGCCGCGGAGCAGGGAGTGAGTGCAGCGCTAGCCACCGGCGGCCGCGCCGACAAGCATGCCAAACTCGCTGCCGTCCTGGCCCATTTTGAAGCAGCAAAACGCCCCGAGCACGCCCCTGCTCTGGCCATCATGGACTCGGCGCATGTGGTGCCGTCGGCGACCCACGGAGAGGGTTCGGCGGAGCCGACGACTGCAACGAGTGCTGTCGCCGAGAGAAATGCTGGACGGAAGGGGAAGGACGATACCGGGAAAGGGAAGGCGGTCTCTCAGAGGAGCACGCGGGCGATGTCTGCGGGGAAGGAGATGTCGGAAGAGAAAGGGAATCAGGACAAGACGGGCGGCAAGGGTAAGCCGGCGAAGAAGAAGGAGAAGGCGGAGGAGGAGGACGAGGAGGGTGGCGAGGGAGATAAAGAGCATGGACGCAGGGGTCATGGCATCCGCCAAGACAGGTCCGGCGACGGGCATGGGTGGGTGGGCGAGATTAAGGTAAACGGACAGAATCGATACATCGGCAAGTCGAGGGAGAAGATGGAGCTGGCCTACGAGCACGCGATTGCGTACGTCGTCTACGACGGCTACGTGAGCAAGGTGCTCATGAAGGAGCTCACCGTCTTGAAGTCGGGGGAGTTGGATAAATGGAAGGAGGTGTGGGCGGAGGTCAAGTTCTTGCCGACTGGGATGTGGACGGTGATGTGGGCCAGAGGCTTGTGCCATCCGAGAGCAAGGTAAGACGGATACCGACGTGAAGAGTTTTGTCGACCAAGTCGGTGTCATTACGCTGATGTTGACGAAGTCGTGTCGTTTTAATGTGTTTGCGCGGCAGGTTCGACAATATACTCGGCAGGTACCGTGGGTACGCGAGTTCGGGTGATGCGCTTCATGACGTGCTCTGGCCGGCGATCTGGTTCCCCATCATCAAAAACACGGAGGAAGGCAAGGAAGAGACGGACGCTCTCATGTCAGCGATGGTAAATCGCGTGTCGATGTGCGTGACGTATGGGAAGGTCGATGCGAGCGTGGAGGGGAAGGCGGGAGAGAAGACGGAGATGGAAGGCGCGGAGGGGAAGGCGGACGAGAAAACGGAGATGGGGGCCCAGGCGTTAGCGGCATCGGCATGCGCCCTCTGGTGCTTCGTGGAGACGGGGGCGTCGGTGCTCGGTGCTGTGGGCGAAGGGAAGGCGGCGGCGATGGTGGCAGGTGCGGGGGAGGAGAGGGCCGAGGACTTCAAGAAGGTGATGCTCGCGGTGATCGACTTAGCACGCAGTAGGCAGGCTCCCGCGGGGGAGGTTGCACATAACGTCGCGCCAGCGCTGCAGAGCCAGGCAGTGGCCAGGGCCTTCAAGGAGGGAGTTGAGGAAGTCGAGGCCGACATGATTGCTAGAGCGACTGTCGAGACCTTGGCGTTCTGGGGAATGTGCCCCGTCGCCGGGCCCAAGCTCAAAGATTAGGGCATCGATGTGCCGTGTGACGCGAAGATGGAGTACGATATGGAGCACATGGGGAGGAAGGGGGAGAAGGTCAAGCAGGCCAAAGGCAGCAAGAGGAAAAGGGGGCAGACGGGCAAGCAGGGCAAGGATAGTACGGATGCGTAGTCGGCGGGCTGTGGTGCTATGGTATGGCCGGCGCCGATGTCGTTGTACTTCTAATGACTTTTCTATCGTAGGGCACGAGACTTTTTTGTTTCTGTTTGCTTCACTTTGTGATGATAAAAATCACTGTCCACATAGAAACATGCTAGCCGCCTTCTAACGAGGAGCCCTGTCGGCGCATATCTCGACATCAAAGAAACATGCTACTTGGCGAGGAGCGAACAAAAAAAGGTAGACACATGATACTCGGCGACGAGCATTGTCGGCGTCTATGTCGACAGCATAGCAACATGCTACTCAGCGATGAAGGATGTCAGAACATTATATAGCTTATGCTGTTGTGTAGGCTATAGTGGGGTATCCCATAGGGGGTACAACCCAATTAGGGTTTTACATATGTACTCACCTCATTCATAGTTCATCCACTCTCGTTCTTCATTCTTCTCATGGTATCGAGCAGGTTCCCTCGTGGGAACTGTTCCTAGGGCCCACCGTTTTTTTTTTTTTTTCCTGCCCGGAGCGCACTCTGCCCCTACCCGAGTCGCGCTCCCCTCTCTCTTGGCCCCTAGTGGCCCCTTTAGCCGCCCGTCACGGCCCTTAGACGCCCGCGCGCCGCCCGTCCCGGCCCCTTAGACGCCCGCGCGTCGCCCGTCCCAGCCCCCTAGACGCCCGTGCGCCACCCGGCCCGGCCCCTAGACGCCCGCGCGCCGCCCGTCCCGGCCCCTAGACGCCCGCGCGCCACCCGTCCCGGCCCCTAGACGCCCGCGCGCCGCCCGTCCCGGCCCCTAGACGCCCGCGCGCCGCCCGTCCCGGCCCCTAGACGCCCGCGCGCCGCCCGTCCCGGCCCCTAGACGCCCGCGCGCCGCCCGTCCCGGCCCCTCGACGCCTGCGCGCCGCCCGTCCCGGCCCCTCGACGCCCGCGCGCCGCCCGTCCCGGCCCCTCGCCGCCCGTGAGCCGCCCGTCCCGGCCCCTAGACGCCCGCGCGCCGCCCGTCCCGGCCCCTAGACGCCCGCGCGCCGCCCGTCCCGGCCCCTAGACGCCCGCGCGCCGCCCGTCCCGGCCCCTCGACGCCCACGCGCCGCCCGTCCCGGCCCCTAGACGCCCGCGCGCCACCCGGCCCGACCCCTAGACGCCCGCGCGCCGCCCGTCCCGGCCCCTCGACGCCCGCGCGCCGCCCGTCCCGGCCCCTCGACGCCCGCGCGCCGCCCGTCCCGGCCCCACGCCGCCCGTGAGCCGCCCGTCCCGGCCGCGCACCGCAGTCCCGACCCCACGCCGCCCGTGCGCCGCCCGTCCCAGCCGCGCGCCACCGTCTCGGTCCCCACGCCGCCTGTGCCGCTGAGGAGCTGAGCCGCCCGAGCCGCCCGAGCCGCCCGCACCGCCCGAGCAGCCCGAGCCGTGCTGCCCCTCAGCAGCACAACCGAGCCGCCCGACAGCAGAGCAGCCGAGCCGCCCAGCAGCCGAGCCGCTCAACAGCCGAGCCGCCCAGCAGCCGAGCCGCCCAGCAGCCGTGCCGCCCAGCAGCGGAGCCGCCGAGCCGCCGAGCCGCCCGACAGCCGAGCCGCCGAGCCGCCGCGCCGCCCTCCTTCCGGGCCGCCCGACCTGTCCAGTCTGGTGAGCACAGCGCCCTTTCACTGCACTGCCCTCACCCTACTGTTTGCGCTGCCAGTCGTCTAGGGTCATGGCTACCCCTAGTGTTCTAGTCTTTGACGCTGAGGGTCGGGCCATTGACTTTGAGGTCTGGGTGGATGACCTGCAGCTGTTCTTACAGTGCGATAGGGCAGATGGTCTCTCTCTCTTTGACCTCACCTCTGGCGCCTCCACTGCCCCTGCTGCTGACGCCGACGCCACTGTTCGCTCCCAGTGGGCCACGCGCGACGCTGCTGCACGTCTTGCTGTGCGTCGCCACCTCCCTACCTCCGAGCGTGCACACTTTAGTCAGTACAAGAGTGCTCAGACCTTGTACGACGCTGTAGTTGCGCGCTACTCCTCCCCTGCCACTGCTGCACTGAGTCGTCTCATGCTACCGTACCTCTTTCCTGACCTTGCTGCCTTTCCCACAGTCGCTGACCTCATTACGCACCTCCGCACTAGTGACACTCGCTACCGCGCTGCACTCCCTGCTGACTTCTGCGCCAAGAACCCCCCCCCCATGTACATCACTCTTTACTACATAGTCACTCGCCTTCCTGACTCCCTTCGCGTAGTCAGGGACCACTTTCTCTCTGTCTGTCCCACCACTCTCACTGTTGACCTCCTCGAGAAGTCCCTCCTAGCGGCCGAGAAGAGCATAGTCGCTGTAGGGGCCTCTCGTGGTGACCCGCGCACCCCCATCTTTGAGGGGTGTTCCCCCTCCCCCCTTCTGCCCTCTGTTGCCTCTGCTGCTGCGGCCGACCTCCTTGGTCTTGAGTCGGTCGGTGTGGCGTCTGCCCCTAGTGGGAGACGCCGCTCTGGCAAGGGCAAGGGGGGCAAGGGCGCTGGAGGAGCGAGCGGGGGCGGTGGAGGTGGAGGTGGCGGCAGTGGGGGGAGTGGGGGTGGCGGTGGGAGTGGAGGTGGGGGTGGAGGAGTCGGTGGCGGCAGTGGAGGCGGAGGTGTCGGCGGCGGTGGCAGTGGGAGCGGGGGTGGCGGAGGTGGCGGCGGCGGAGGCGGAGGTGGAGGCGGCGGCAGTAGCGGAGGCGGCGGAGGCGGAGGAGGCGGCGGGGGTGGAGGTGGTGCTGGTCGCGGGTCTTCGCAGAGGAGTGGCTCCGGTGGTGGCTCGCGCCAGCAGCAGCAGCGTGGTCGTGACACCTTGTCCCCTCAGCAGCTTCGTGAGTGGTACACTGCGCGTCAGCGAGGTGGGGGTTTTGGTCCGTGCTCCTACGTTTTGCGCACCGGCGACCGTGCGGGTGAGCAGTGTGGGGGTCCCCACCCCACTCAGCGCTGCTTTGGCCGCCTGACGGACGCGTGGCGTCACCAGTTCCCGGAGGCCTCAGAGATCCCTCGTTGGGGTGACCTGTCCAGGGCGGGTGTTGCCATCTATGATCTTGACTTTGATGCTATTCTCTCTGCCATGTATGCTGTGTCTATTAGTGATGAGGGTGACTGTTACCGGTGTTTCCCGCCCGATCCGGGTATTGAGACTGCTGCTCTAGGTCCTGGTGAGGCTGCTGCCCTAGGTGCTTGCGACGCTGCTGCCCTAGGTGCTCGTGTGTCTGCGTCCTCAGGTACTGGTGAGTCTGCGCTCTCAGGTACTACGTCGGCTTCGGCCTCCCTCACCTTCACCCTTGACTCTGGGGCGTCTCGCTCCTTCTTTAGGGACCGCACCACACTCACACCGCTGAGTCGACCGGTTGCAGTGTCTCTGGCTGACCCCTCTGGGGGTCCTGTCCTGTCTCGCTTCTCCACAGTCCTCCCGTGTCCGGCGGCTCCCTCTGGCACCCTGTCTGGTCTCTACCTCCCCTCGTTCTCTACGAACCTGGTGAGTGGTGCTGACCTACAGGATGCGGGTGTACACCAGTTCACTCCTGCGCGTCAGCGGGTGACGCACTGTACAGAGGCTCGCACAGGCCGACACCTGGCTACGTTTACCCGTCAGCCGGGGTCGAGCCTGTACACACTGACCACTGCGTCTCCTCCCGTTACTGAGTCTGGTAGAGTCGCTTCGTCGGGTCAGGTGTTTGCTGCTGCGTCCAGGTCTGGTCCTGAGTCTGCCCCCTGTTCTTGTCGTCTCCTGTCTCACGAGACTCTTCTCTGGCACCACCGTCTTGGTCACCCCTCTCTGCTTCGGCTCAGAGGCATGGCCTCCCGTCTTCTAGTGTCTGGTCTTCCCCGGTCCCTCCCTCCCCTTCCTCAGGGCCCTGGCCCTACCTGTGTCCCCTGTGTCGAGGGGCGCCAGCGTGCTGCCCCTCACTCCTCCCAGTTTCCTCCGACAGAGGCCCCGTTGCAGACGCTCCACATGGACGTGTGGGGCCCAGCCCGCGTCCGTGGGCAGGGTCACGAGCGCTACTTCCTGCTCGTTGTTGACGACTACTCGCGTTACACCGCAGTCTTCCCCTTGCGCGGCAAGGGTGATGTCACTGAGGTGCTGATCGACTGGATCCGCGCAGCTCGTCTCCAGCTCAGGCAGAGCTTTGGCTCCGACTTTCCTGTTCTGCGTCTGCACTCGGACAGAGGCGGAGAGTTCTCCTCTGGCCTTCTGCGAGCCTACTGTCGTGCACGAGGCATCCGTCAGACCTTCACGCTCCCGGACTCTCCGCAGCAAAATGGGATTGCTGAGCGCCGCATTGGCATGGTCATGGACGTCGCTCGTACGTCTATGATGCATGCGGCTGCCCCCCATTTTCTGTGGCCGTTTGCGGTGAGGTACGCGGCACGTCAGATCAACCTTCACCCCAGGGTCTCCAGGCCGGAGACCTCCCCAGCCTTGCTGTGGACCGGGAAGGTGGGCGATGCGTCGGCGTTCCGGGTCTGGGGATCTCGGGCGTTTGTCCGCGACTTGTCTGCGGACAAACTGTCCCCTCGTGCTGCTCCTTGCGTCTTCCTGGGGTTCCCCCCAGACGCGCCTGGGTGGCAGTTCTACCACCCCACCTCTCGCCGTGTTCTGTCCTCTCAGGACGTCACGTTCGACGAGTCGGTACCCTACTACCGCCTCTTCCCCTACCGCACTCCGTCCCCCCCCCCGCCCCCGCTCTTCCTTGTACCAGGTCCCCCCCCGGTAGACCCCCTCCCCCCTCAGGGTCCTGCCCCTTCAGGTGTGTCCCAGGTAGACGCAGTCGAGCCTGTCGAGGTCACTGGTGACTCTGGTGCTGCTGGGGGTGCTGAGCCTGGGGGTGCTGGGCCTGGGGATGCTGGGCCTGGGGGTGCTGAGCCTGGGGGTGCTGAGTCTGGGGGTGCTGAGCCTGGGGGTACTGAGCCTGGGGGTGCTGAGCCTGGGGGTGCTGAGCCTGGGGGTTCTGAGTGTGGGGGTGCTACGCCTGGGGGTGCTTTGCCTGGGGGTGCTGGACCTGGGAGTGCTGCGCCTGGAGGTCCTCCGCCTCGAGTTTCTACGCGTGCTTTGTCTCGCCGGGAGCCACTCTCTCCACAGGAGCTGCGCGAGTGGTTTGCCCGGCGCTGGAGCCGTGCTGCTGGTGCTGGAGGTTCGTCGGCTACTGAGGGTGCTGCTGTTGCGGGTCCCGGAGGTGCTCGTACTGGGAGTACTGGAGCTGCTGGGCCTGCGGGTTCGACTGGAGCTGGTGCTGCTGAGGGTGTTGGAGCTGAGACTACCACTGGCGGTCCTGCTGGGGATGCTCCTGGTGTTGCTCGAGGTTCTGGAGCTACTGGAGGTGCTGCTGGAGCGGGTGCTCCTGCTGGGGGTACTGGTGCTGTCCCTGCTGTTTCTGGCGTAGCTACGCGGCCTCGACCGTACTTCGTTCCACTCCTGCAGCAGGTTCTTGGTCTTCCGCCCTCTCCTGGTCCTCCTCCTCTCTTGGAGGGTCCACAGCCTGTCCCGTCGCGGTCACTGCTACAGCCTACCTCCCCTTTACCTGCTCCTTCTCCCTACACTGGTCCTACTGGAGGTCTTACTGAGCGTCGTGAGCCTGCGTCTCGCCCTGCGTCGCCTGTCCGTGCTGCTCGCGCTAGTGGTCGTGGTTCGCGTCAGCGTCCTCCTCCTGTCCCTGGCACGCACAGGATGTCTCTGCGTCCGTCTACTGCTCCTCTGCGTGCCCCTTTGCCTTCTCCTCCTGAGTCCTCTCTTCCTGCTCTTCCCGACCCTGCGTCGGACTCTCTTCGTGCTGCCAGTCCTACTGTCACGCGTCTCCTTGCTACTGTCGTCACTGACCCTTCCTTCGAGTCTACTGCTGCGTCTGCCCTAGTTACTGAACTCGTCGACTTTGCTGCTCGCTGTCGCCTAGACTACGCTGCTAGTCTTGTCGCTGAGTCTGGGTCTGCCTGTCCTCCGTCAGTCGGGGGTGAGTGTGCCCTTGGCACGGACGTCCTTGAGGACAGGCAGGAGGAGTTCCAGTGTCTGGCAGCTACTTCACCTCATCTCGTGTCCGTACTGCTTACCCCTGAGGGAGACCCGGATGCACTTGACATCCCGACTCCGCGCTCTTACGCGGAGGCGATAGAGGGTCCCTACTCCTCTCAGTGGCAGGCAGCTATGGATGCAGAGATGGCTTCCTGGAAGTCCACAAGCACCTACGTTGACGCTGTCCCCCCTCTTGGGGCGAACATCGTCAGTGGCATGTGGATCTTCAGGGTGAAGCGGCCGCCGGGTTCTCCGCCTGTCTTCAAGGCACGTTACGTGGCTCGTGGCTTCAGTCAGCGACAGGGAGTTGACTACTTTCAGACCTTCTCCCCCACCCCGAAGATGACCACTCTTCGGGTGCTGCTACACGTTGCTGCTCACCGTGACTACGAGCTGCACTCTCTCGACTTCAGCACTGCTTTCTTGCAGGGCAGCCTGCACGAGGAGATCTGGCTGCGCCGCCCACTTGGCTTCACTGGGTCTTTCCCTCCTGGTACCCAGTGGAGTCTCCGGCGTCCAGTCTACGGTCTCCGCCAGGCGCCACGTGAGTGGCACGACACACTGAGGACTACGCTTGCGGCTCTTGGGTTTGCTCCTTCTACTGCCGACCCGTCGCTGTTTCTACGCACCGACACCTCTCTGCCGCCGTTCTACATCCTCGTGTACGTCGACGACTTGGTCTTTGCCACAGCTGACACTGCTGGACTCGCCCACGTGAAGTCCGAGCTGCAGAAGAGACACACGTGCACAGACCTGGGTGAACTGCGCAGCTACCTTGGCTTGCAGATCACCCGGGACAGAGCACGCCGCACCATTACCCTGACTCAGTCACACATGGTGCAGCAGGTCCTTCAGCGCTTCGGCTTCACGTACTCCTCGCCTCAGGCCACTCCTCTGCCTACTCGCCACTCACTCTCAGCTCTGCCTTCGGATGAGTCAGTAGAGTCGAGTGGCCCGTATCCAGAGCTTGTTGGCTGCCTCATGTACCTGATGACCTGCACACGACCTGACCTTGCATACCCTCTTAGCATTCTTGCACGCTATGTTGCTTCTGGGAGACACCGACCAGAGCACATGGCTGCAGCGAAGAGGGTGTTGCGATACTTGTGCAGTACGTCGGGCATGGGACTAGTGCTTGGAGGGCGGAGTCCAGTGGTCCTCACTGGGCACGCGGACGCTTCTTGGGCTGACGACCAGGCTACGCAGCGGTCGTCGCAGGGTTATACCTTCAGTCTTGGTTCCGGCTCTGTCTCGTGGCGAGCTACTCGCTCGTCCTCTGTTCTCGGCTCCAGTTGTGAGGCTGAGATCTACGCCGGGGCCATGGCTGCACAGGAGCTTCGCTGGCTCACCTACCTGCTGACTGACCTTGGAGAGCCGCCTCGTTCTCCTCCAGTGCTGTACGTAGACAACAAGGCCATGCTGGCCTTGTGTCGAGAGCAGCGCTTGGAGCACAGAACGAAGCACATTGCTCTCCGTTACTTTCTTGCTCGTGAGCTGCAGCAGCGTGGTCAGTTGCGACTTGCGTACGTGGCCTCTCAGGCCAACACTGCTGATGTGTTCACCAAGGCACTTGCGCCTTGTGACCATCAGCGCTTCTGCACTCAGCTGGGTCTTGTACCTGTCTTGCCTCACTTGCTCTCCTCTTGACCTTACTTGTACTGTCACATATATATACCTGCTCTTGCTTGTCTAGCTCTATATATATATGTGTACTCCTGCATGTGAACTGGCCTTGTGGCCTTGTCGTTGTGCTCGGACTGTGTGGTGACGTTGTGATCCACCCTGAGCTTGCTCTGCTTTGCTTGACTGGTCTTGCGACCCCTTGTTCTCCCCCACTTTGCCTATGGGGGTGTGTCAGAACATTATATAGCTTATGCTGTTGTGTAGGCTATAGTGGGGTATCCCATAGGGGGTACAACCCAATTAGGGTTTTACATATGTACTCACCTCATTCATAGTTCATCCACTCTCGTTCTTCATTCTTCTCAAAGGATGAGTCCTGCGAGACTTCGACATCGCCCCGAGGATAGTATTTTTGATTCTTACTGAGCGACCGACAACAATTAACACAGCGGGATCAAGTAGGTTCGCAAGGACCTTGCAGTGGGTTGTTACAAACTACCGGAACAGCATTTGAAAAAATAAGGGGGGGGGGGGGGGGGGGGGGGGGGGGGTAAATGTCTGCCACAATTAACAGCATCAAACAACGCACACGCATATCCTACAAGCGCGCTTATGCCGACTTCTTGCGCTTGGTCGGAGGACGGTGCACCGGTGCGGTCGGCTTGGCCGGTGCGGTCGACTTGGTAGGTGCGGTCGGCTTCGCCAGGTCGGCCTTGGTCTTCGGCATCTGCTCCACCCAGGTGTCTGGAAACAGGGTTTCGACCCAAACTGTCGGCTTCAGGTTGAGCGCCACAAGCTCACAGGCGAGGCGTAGCTTCGAGACCACCTTGGGGCCCAGCCCCTTGACTCCCATGCCAGGCTCCTTGGACAACATCGGTGCCGTTCCCGGTTTGAGCACCGTGAGGGCATCGGCAAAGGTCCCGATGCCCGGTGCCGCGATCCTGTGCAGTGCATCGACCACGGCCTCGGTGTCGGCGTCGCCGTCGCTCGCGCGTAGCTGGCGCACCGCATCCATGACCCTCAGCATGTGGCGCACCCTCATGTTGAGTGCACCCTGCGTCGCGCCTAACAGGAGGGTGTGGCGGTCGACGAAGCCCGGCTCGCCGAACCTGTCGCAAAGCCGACAGGTGTCAGTGGCAGTGGCAGAGTTCCAGAGGCGCCAGGCGTCCCTCACGGTCTTGGCCTCCCGCCACAGTTGTACCACGTTGAGCTCGTAACTAGCCTCCTCATCTGTCTATGGGGGTGGCGGGGGTTTCTCGTCCCCTCTGTCGGCTCCCGCTCCCGTGTTGGCCGAATCCGCCGAGCCACCCTCACTTGGAGCTTGCGCGGTAGCCGACGGCGGGGCCTCCGGCACTCTCCGTGCTTCTGACACATGGAGTGCCTCGGTGAGACGGGTTATCTCAGCGGTGAGAGACGCGATGGTGTCATCGCGCTTCTCGAGCTCCTCCAGGAAGTCAATCTTCTCGTTCGCGGCGCGCTCCATCTCCTTCGTCAGCTTCGCCTTGAGGGACATGTTGTAGTACACTGTGTCAAAGCGGACAGAGATTTCCTGCAGCGGTACGACAAAGACGTTAGCTGCGAGGTGGTTTGGAGTACCCTCCATCCAGGTCGTCGTCGACTTACCTCTGCCTGAATTTGGGTCGGGTCCCGACGCTCGTTGATCGTCTCGGTGTCGACCCTCTCGACCCGTTTCGCCCAGCGCTAGAAGAGGGAAATCCGGCAGAGCATGGAGCCTTGGACGTACGGGTGCCATGGTGTGCGGACCAGCTTCACCGCTAGGTCCTCGGCGACGATGCGGCGCAGCATCTGGAGTGTGCGCCAGAAGTGCACCGCGGCTTTGTCGGCGTCGGACCCATTGGCAGCCTTCCCTTCCGCCTGCAATTCGTCACGTGTATTAGGAGTTCAGACACGGTCGGCAACACGACTCGAAGACAAGGCTACGACGGCGTCGACTAACATACCATCTTCAGCATGTCGTCGACGCCGGGGAAGATGTGCTCGGCAAGGAGCTTCAGGAGCTTCTCGGAGGGCTTCACCCTGCTCCGACCCAAGAAGTAGTCCTGCTTGTAACCAGAGTAACCGGCCTTCTTCATCACCACCCCCACCGGAATGGCGGTGATGTACGCTCGCGTCATCTTGTCGAGCGCCCAGTGACCCAGCTCCGCGATCTCGGCGCGCGGCGTGCCGTCGATGGCCAGCTCCTGGGCCCCTCCCGCTCGAGCGGCGTGCACGTTCCTCTTGCAGAACACCCCGTTCTTGTCCCACAACTGCCGCGTCCAGCGTTGGTGGCTTGCCGCGGAGAGCTCCCCTTGGTCGGTGTCGTTTTTGGCGAAGAAGAGGTGCTTCTTGTACCAGCTCGCGCGTGTGCTGGTGTCCACCGGCGGAATGAGGCGAACGCTGTGAAACTGGCCGATCTGGTCGAGGATGAAGTGCAACCACAGGCCCGTCTCGCCGACGGCGCACAACTCCGCTTCGAGGTGCCGCGCAGCGTAGCTCTGCTGCAGACGCGCATCCTTGGACGTCTTCGAGTTCCGCGCAGCGATGACCATGACGACCGGCTGGTTCTCCGGGTTCACCGACGAGGTGCTCGCCAGTCGGTACAAGAATATGTCGGGGAGCGTGATCTTGCGGATGCTTTGACCGCGCAGGAGAGAGTGGTGGGAGAGTAGCGTGGGCACCTTCAAGAGCAGAAACCTCCACAACGTCTGTGAAGGGCCCGTACCCCGCGGGTTCCACGCCTTGGCCGCCCACGTCGGCAGCACCCTGATCATGATCTGGCGGAACTGTTTGGCGGTGTAGGTATCGCCAATGGTTCCGCGACGCCAATCGGCACAGTTCCTGCCGACAATGCCAAGGGTAAGGGGAATTTAGGGCGGCGTCAACATAGTACATGACAACAACAGAGTGGTCGACAGAGGTTAAACATAAACTCACTTGATGTCCCGCTCGTTCTTGGTGCGTATCATGAACCGCACCTCCGACCTGACCACCGATATCTCACGCATGATGCTCAGCTCCGTCTCCCGGTATAGCGTCGCCTCCACTCTCGCCGCCATCTGGCATGCCTTTATGCGCCCGAGGAGCGTGTGCACCGTTGTAGATTGCACAGGCTGTGTTCCTGTGGCGTTGTCGCCCTCCTTGCTGGACTCGGCATCGAGCTTCAACTCCCGAACCATGTACTTCACGTATGCGCGAAGCCGGGTCTTGGTGACCCTAGGGGCGTGCAGCCACACGTACGCCCGGGGGACATCGGCCTCTTGGTCCCAGTTTTCTCTTCTTGTCGTCCCGGATGTAGTGCCCTATCTCGTCGACGTGCTTAAGCCTGTGCTCCTGCGGAAGCTTGCTGCGAATTTGCCTCAACATCTTCGCCGCCCACCTCTTGTAGTGATAGATCCACGAGGTGTACAGCCTCAGCGTGTTGTTCCTCTCCACGGTTTGCAGGTGGCATAGGGCGTCCAAGACGAGCACGTCGATGGACGCGTAAACCAGGTCTTCCTCGACGAAGTCTGCCGCCCTCCACTGTTCGCGCAGTACCGACAAGTTCTCCTGTTCGAGCAGATTATCTATGTATTCAAGTTCCCGCCTGAGTCGTTCTTCCAAGGTGCGCTGATTAGTGCTACGCGGTGGACGCTCGTCGTTTTCGTCATCGCTTTCCTCCTCCTCCTCCTCCCCATCCTCCTCCTCCTTGACCTCAACCTGGTTTCCAGAGCCGGCCGGTGCCGACGAAGTTCCTGGCTGTCCAGTTCGCGTCGGATTCTGTTTTTTCTTCTTGTTAAACTCCCCGATCGGCAGTGGGGGAATGTCCTTGGTGAACTCCCCTTATGGAATCTGCGTCAGCTTGTCAAGATCGTAGAGTAACGGGAGTGTCTCTTCCTCGGTAGATGTCGGACTATGGTCGGTAGATGGACTAGCGTCGGACATGTCGACGTCGGCCATGTGGCAGCACGTATGTTGCTCTACCGTCGTCTGTGTGCGATGCGGAGGTTGGTAAACCAGAGACGGTACTGAGTCACGGGTGCGGTGTACGACCAAAGAGTTGCGCGGCGGTCGTCTTCTAGATATCGCTCAATAACGTCTAACTCGTGTTCGACCTCGAGATTGCGGGGGTTGGTAAACCAAAGACGGTACTGAGTCACGGGTGCGGTGAACGCCCGAAGATTTGCGCGGCGGTCTTCTTCGAATTCTCAATCAAGTGCGACTAACTCGGCTTCGACCTCGAGCCGTTCCAGCTGCGCTTTGATGTCGGCGTCTACAGAGTCGGCGGGGGGTGGAATGGGTTGCGGCTGTTGGGCTCTAGGGCGACCTCTGGCCATGCGTCGCCGACTTGCTACGTCGGCGGGGACGTTAGGAGCTTGCACCGATGTTTAGCTAAAACAGCAGACGTCGACGTCGATGACTACTGACCAAGTCGGCAACCGAGTAACCTACAGGCGCGATGACAGACTGGCAGCTGAAAATTCTAAGTGCACGAGAGAGCAGGAAGAAACGCAGGAACGGACGTGGGAATGAGCAGGCCCGCAAGGTCACGGACGGGTATGGTCCTGAGCGACTCCGATGCTGCCGCGCTTCACGCACACCCCTATGCTGCTGCCGCCATGCATGTGTTCTCGTAAAGGCGGCGCACTGTCCGACGTGCCACGTGCCAAGCATGGCTAATGTGACCCAGCGCTGCAACGAAGGGGCGTAAGCCTGGGTCTTTCCACGGTGGAATGGGCGTGTGTTACGTGGCTTGGGACCGACATTGGCCCCTCAGTTCCGAAATTACGGCATGCCGACTCCAATCTCCCAGGGTCCCGGAATTATTGAAGCCCAGCGTGGGGCGCCCTAAGATCGGCGCCGACTTCCATTCGGCGCGCTTGGTTGTTTCCTTAGGTTCATTGAACCTAGACAGTGTTGAGATTGTGCCGCGTGGCTTGGTTGTGGGCCTTTGGATGAAATGGTCGACACCGACATCGCTTGCAACTCGCGATGCCACAGAACAGTTACACCCTGGACGGTCCGATTTGCGATACTTCTCAGGAATCTCCCAGCCAAACCCGAGGTCGTCAGAATGTCGTCGATCCCGAGGGCCCCCGAGGCACCTCGGTCGCCACTTTGGCCCAGTTTGCCACTCGGAGGTCGTCAGGAGCTCGTCAATCCCGAGGGGGACCCTTGTCCCATTTCAACCGCGAAATTGGGCGGCGTTTTTCGTCGGCTGAGGTATATCATCCCGTAACCCTCGCCCCATTACGGGGCCCTGGTTACGGAGGCCCGCGTGGGATTACGGACCGTTTTTCCTCAACAACCTTTCGGGAGCGTTGCGCAGTGCCACGTCACCCCACGCTTTCTGTCTCGCACTTCGCCAAACAAATGGTGTCTGAGGCGAGTCTGACAAGATGTAGATAAGGGGGGTGTAGGAAACAGCCCTAAGATGCCGTTTCACGTGATTGACGGTGACGGTGAAAATTTTGGGCAGAATTTTTGCCAGATTCATCGAATCTAGGCAATCTCGCTAACAGGGATGGCCCCACTACTGTATGATTCGAATCAGGGTCCCCTAGCAAAAGTAGGCTGAAATTTCAGGCCTGGTACAAGAAAGTTAGCTGAAAAAACAGAGTAGGCATGTAAAAAAAAAAACTTTCTCATCAGGGTTGGGACCTAAAAAGACCTTGAAAATCAGGGTTCAAAGGCAAAATCAGGGTAAAATTCCTGCAATCTGAGGGCCTGACTCCAAGACCGACAAAGGCACGTCACCTAGAAATTACGTTGTGTGTCTTCTCCCATTCGTCCCAAAACGTGGTTACCACATCACAATCTTGCAGGACAGAGTGCACCGATGCCTTGCGTTGCCTAGATGTGCTTTTGTAACTGTTGGAATAACCGAAAGGTTATTATAAAACATTCCCGAAGGTTCCCCACTCTCGCGTCACTCCATTACGAAGTGTACGCCTGTACTAGTACCGCAATAGCTCATATAGAGCACGCGGAAGTCCAAGGGTCACCCGAAGGTCAACGGTCGAAGACAGTCAACAGTCGTGACCCTTGACTGCCCAGTAACTGCACGAGGCAGTTACGAAGTGGAACGTGGTAACTGTCTAGAATGGCAATAGTCGTGGGTTACTGTAGCAATGCAATTCAGTTAATAAGGGAATGTACCCCTCAGAGTACATCACTAGCTAGGAATGCTATTTATATCCCTGTACTTCCATCTTATAATTATCTTGTTTTCTCTCAACTTATTAACAAGGTCACTACAGAGACTTATAGTTCTCTCCTTTCACACTTGGCTACCTTATCCTGTCCACTACGATCCTTCGGTTATATCAACATGGTATGAGGGCAAGAGTGGATTATAAGGCCTACCAAGTTCTTGTTCTTGTCAGAACAATCCCATTATAAATTATTCATTACATCATTAAGGACTCTGCATCACTATGGCTCCAGAAGGAAAAGCCACTGCAGACTCTCCGGGCCCACCATTAGCAACAACACCCACTGCACCATCAGCGGTGAACTCCGTCAGCGCCGCTCTCGTTGAGCAGCTGGTCGCCCGCATCAACGCCCTTGAAAGCCATCAAGCAATGAGCGTCGTTGGCTCAAGCTATGCACGTGGAGTTGCTGGACTCCCTCTCCCTGGAGAAGACCGCCGCGTCAACTCTGAGAGGTCATTCACATTTGACAACCGTCAAGCTTCAGCTCCTGCGCAAGACAATCAACAACGCGCACATTCAGATACAATTGCGACAATGCAGACAAAATTTGTTCTGACCTCAAAGCTGAAGACATCAGTCCCTTTTAACGGAAAGGACTTCTATACCTGGAGCTTCGAGTTCGAGCTCCTTGCGACAACCGCGCAGATCTGGATGTACTACGACAGGAGCTTACCGTTTCCAACGGAAGGCACCATTCAAGAGAAGAATCAGTATTACCACGAATCTCTTCTCGCGTACACCACCCTGCTTCGGAATCTCTCCCCCGAAGAACAGCTCGGCATTCGCTCCTACAAGTCAGAATGGGCACCCGCGTACGCCTCTTGGGAACACCTGCGCAACTCATACATGGCAACAGATACAGTCACTATGAGTCGCCTGCTCAGCCAGCTGACATCCGTCAAAATGCATCAAGGAGAGAAAGCGGGACCATATATCAACCGATGCCGCAATCTGCGCGACCATATCAAGAAATGCGGCGGATCCGTTCCTGACGACATGTTCGTCTCAATGGTTCTCTCTGGTCTTGGTCCCGACTGGCGTCAATGCCAATCCTTGCTCCGCGCCCGAGCGACTGTTTCCGAATCGGCCCTGTGCGCCACGCTCCTCTCCGAACAGAAGGAGATCGACCTGTACAACGAAAAGAACACAAAGCGGGAAAAATTAGTCTTCTACGTCGGATCATCCCAAGGGGAGCAGCGCGGAAAGAAAGGCGCCTTCTGCAAATACTGCAAGAAGTCTGGCCACACTATCGACCAGTGCTACAAGCGTCAGGTTGCTGACGAACGGCGCAACCCCCTCAGTCAGCAACCCTCGGCGCAAGCAAAAACTTCTGCCGCAACCTCCACGGTGTCGCCTCCCTCCGTTGCCAGCACTTCCCAATCTCCTGCACTCATCACAACGAAGGATAAAGGGAAAGGGACAATCATGAGCTGCATGGCTTGCCGCAACAGAGGATACCGGCACTATGATCGAGTAACATTCGCGCTCCACGATCCCGCCAATCCTGTCTCACCAAGACAAGACAACGATCCCACTGCCCCTTCCTGGACCTACTCACCGCAAAGGCACCCACCTGACTTCGAGCTGCCGCCACCGACACCAGAATCGCCTCCCAGCATATCGGTGAACCGGTACTTCGCCCTCTCGCCATATACAGGCTAAAGAAATCGCGTGGTTACGCCTAAAATCGCCAACATCGCGAGGCAAAGCCGCGAGAACATCAACACCTGGTACCTGGACAGTTGCTGCGGACAGCACATGGTGGGATCGCCAACATTCATCACCAACTCCAAACGCATGCGACGACCCTGCGAGATCACAGTGGCAAACGACGGCACACTCAAAGCATACGACATCGGTGAGATCTTCCTTGAAGCTGACGACACACACTTCACGATTCACATCGGCTACGTGCTTGTTGCTCCAGATCTGCGGTACAACCTGCTTTCCTCGGCTCAACTTATGCGGTGCGAAGTCGACATTCG